TACTGCTTGTCTTCAGTTTCAAGGTCCATCCTTGCTTATCACCACCACACCTATTGCTCCTTAATCTTTGTCAGGAAGACCAGCTGTGGTTTGCTACCATTTGAAGCTGGGACAATTTTCATGAAACATAAAGCTTAAAAGACCATTACATCATACCGTCTAATCTGATTATTATTTTGTGTCGGGCTAAAACACTTTCAAAACCCCCACTTTTTACTGGTAAAAAAATTAAATTCAGAGATGGTTCTTGCATCAAGCGTCCAGTTCCCAGGTTCTCTCTCACCCACACATTGTATTTTCACACAAACTTCTTATGCTTTTTTCTGTTTTGTGCCTTACAGTTTATGGAAACTCCCTTAAATATTTGACAACATATTGCATTGCTGTTGTTCAAAGCTTTCGCTGAAATTCAGCTTACTAACACAACCCTACAGCCCCTATGAGCAAACCGTGTGATAAGCAGTTATATTCACATCACGTATTTTTAAGCATCTAAAGTAAGGAAGAGGGAGATGTAGGAGACGTATTCTACTATACAGTAAATGGAGAGGTTCCTGTTGAAAGTGATTTGGTTGAAAGAACTCCTGAAACATTCCAAACTGTATAAGTCTCTGGAAATAGCTATGGAAATAGCCTAGGCCGATCAGTCTTTTGATTTAGGTACCTGAGTTGGATCCCTAAAGTATGAATGTTGCCCTAACTACTAGCATTTCCCTTCTCATCTATATTTTATATATTTTATTATTATATTTATTAGTGTATATTTGCTGTTTTCAACTGTATTATATTTACGTTTCCAGCACTTAAAATTGCAGATCATCTTTTCAGCCCATGTCTGTGTGGGGACTAAAATCACAGGAACTAATAATTTACAGTTACACAAACCAGTATTTTATTAAACAGTACCTGATCATGTAATTATCATAGAATTACACCCCCCCCCCTTGTAGATGATGCACAGCTATGTGCATCAACTTCAACTTTGGTATTTCCTAAATTCCTCAGTCCTATAACAAAGAGTGGAATGTGTTCATGGCTGGCACCAGCTATTTTCTACCCAGTGTGAATAATGGGCAAATCCTCAAGACAATTCAACACAGCAAAAGAAGAGAAGGGAGAATAAAAGCGATGGGAAGGTATGGGTGGATCCAAGACACATACAGAATTTCTGGCAGAAAAAGCAGAGTGGAGGAAACAAACTATGGAAACCCTCGTCATGTGCTTGACACATCATAAGCTATTTTGTGAAACAATTGATGAGAAAATAGTAAAATGTAGGACTGGTAAAAGCAAAAGTAAGAAATGGAAGGAGTCCCTTCATATATGTGAAGAGTTCATGCCCCACAATGTACGATGCTCCCTGTTAAACTTACTGAACTTGAAATCTACCCTATTAAAAAAGAGATTTCAACAACATAAGAAAGTCCCTAAAGCCCAAAATAATGAAGCAAACCCCACTGACATATCTTACATGCTAAGAAATTCTCAGGGTCTCAAAAAACATGCTTATTGCTGGGAAAAGGATAATAAAACATTATGAAGAAACAATGAGCTTCAAGAAATTAGCTTATTTAGAAATTTAGAAATCTAATAAATACACAAATTTAGAAATCTAATCCTAACACAAACAATAAGCAAAAGTCATACTAGGCATCATGTAAAAAAGAAAGAGAATAGAACAACTACGACTGATGATATTCTAGTTCTTGCTCCAGATCTAGTGATCTAGATAACAGAAAAGTTCTTTCAAAGCCCGAAGTAGGAGGAGAATGCATCCTGAAGCAAGCAAACAAAAAAATGAGGACACAGGCAATCATAGATCAAAACCTGATCAAAATCTAAACAGGGAAAAATACTGGATTAAATGATTGATTTCATTATAATAGATTTCTTTATTAGCAAATAGTTAACTACAAAGTGTATAAAAAAGAAATGTGTTTGGTCCTATGTTATGGTATAGGATTGCCTCCGTTTAATGGAAGTTGTTCATTAGGTCAGTTATGCCGTATTGGGAAAGTACACCAGTTGCTTTGGCCTCAGGAAGGAACCAGGGCCCACTTCAGCAGTTTAGTGAAAATCTCTGCTCAACACCACACTACAATCAAAATAAGAGTAATAAAACGGGCAGCTTAAACAATGGAAGAGAATTAGAAGAAAGCCAATGTAATAGGATTATAAAAATCAATGCTCTGACCTTATCAGAAAAAGAAAATCCCAAAGGAGGTACAGGTCACCTCTTCTCCAAAAGGTTACTAAAAAACTGGATAGGGTTCATATGTGGACAATAATAGACATGGAAAATTCCTAGGAAGAGAAATTAGGAAGTTTAAAATCTGGAGTCTTATGCATGGACATGTAAAATAATCATTGCTGTAAAGAGGTCAGATCAGACATTTCTATGCTTGCTATCTTACAACACAAGAAAACAATACAAAGAAACACCCAAAGTATGGAAATTTCAAAACTGATAAGAAGAAATGTTTTGTCACATCATATGTAATCCATTCATATTGACTGTCACAGAAATTCAGTTATTAATCTAAATACAATGTTGCTATCAATGATATTATAGATCAAATCAGTTACTACATAAAGAAATCAGGAAGCAACTTATTTGGAGTTAATATCAACTGAAGCATTAGGATGTATTTACTAGTGAAACAGGAAACTGTATTACAGTTTAAACAAATATGGTAATCCCTGTGTAAAAATATCAATTAAAGAAAAAGAATAGCAACTTGATTTCATTATTAAAATTTTATTCACGTCACAGTAATGTTTCCTACAGTTTGCATTAAATGCTATTAATAGCTCATTAACAGTATAGTCATACCTAGAAGATTTTGAAACAACTAAAGTTTGGACACATTAAGCTTTTATGTAAGCAATAAAGGCAAATACATGATAAAATGAAAAACAGCACGACTATAACCTCATTTCCTCCTTCACTGCAGGTTCTACCTAAAATGTAATTTTTTTCTGATTTACAATCACAGCCAGCTTCTTAGAAGTTTGTCTGTTCTTCGAAGACATGACACTGAACAGTTTTTCCTTTACCACTTTTTTTAAGGATAATTTTAACAAGCACTCTCATCACAGATCTTGCTAACAAGCACCCAAAAAGTGACTACTTACTGATCACCCACTAACAAGAGAGCTAGAATTAGCTTAAGCACTAAATCCTTAGTATGCCACCACTCTACTGCCCGGTTATCTTGATTAGATCATCCTGGTTTAGTTTGAAATGCATATTGTCACTGCACATACTAAAAACCATACTGTCCTGTTGTATTAGTCACTACAAAAACATAGAAAAGATTATAATTTTCTCAAAGAGCAGTGAGTCCTAATTTTGCTAGGATAGGTATGGTAAAAACGAAAGAGAGTGTAAGGACGTGGCTTCATATATTTTATTTGATTTTTCCCACTGCATCTGGGAAGGTGAAGAAAATATTATATTTTCTGAAGGTGGTGGAACAGGAGAGGATGCCAGCACTGTCAACGGGAGGTTGGCACTTCCTGGGGCTAGGGCAGGTAAACAGGGCAGAAGTAAATGGCTGAAGCATCACACAGTGCAGTAGAAGGTATAAATGAAGACTCAAAAATCAATAATATAGAGCACACAGAACCAGAAAGACTGCCTGGGAACTCTGTCTTGGATAGAGAGTATACAGCTTGTACTAGGACACAAGAAAATGAGAAATTTAAAGAGCTACATGAACTTCCTGTGATGATGCTCGAATGTAGGCATGGGTACTAGTTCTGATGGAGAAGGGAATTTCAGCCAGTGGGCAGCTATGAATCTAGGAAGACCTTACTGCCTGTAATGACAGAAAAACTGCCTGAAATAAAAGCAAGCTAACAGGTTGCACAAAGGAATATAAAATTTCTGAACCCAAAAGGCAACATACCTTTCCTTCTGTCCTGAAAGCAGCAGACCATTCACCACCAGGATACTGGAACATAAAAATTATTCTCCTTGTGTAACTTACTCTGTTTTGCTGTTTTCACAGGTTGCATATTTGAGTGAAAGAACTGTTACTTGGCAGATTTGCCTTTCAGTTGCATAGCTTTTGCCTGCAAACATTTTAATAACACACCCCACTGAGAAATACTGATCACTTTCTAAAGCGAACATTTTGCTCTTCTAAAGACATTATACGCTTGATAGTATGTTTTGAATGTACCTAACTGAAGTATACTTCACTGTACCTTTACCTGCAAAGTTTGCCCATGTTTTTTTTTTCCCCGTTTTAAGTGAACAGTGGGTAATAGCAACAAACTAAATTCATGGGGGAGAAGGGGTAAACTAACTTCATTTAGGTGTGAAGGAATTTCTTGTTAAGGGCACTTCTTTGCTCATTCCAACAGTATCAAAGCTATTTATTTGGTAATAAAGGTTCCTGGGCTGAAACAGACATTTCTGAACTTGTTGATGATTAATGTACAGTTTAAGAGAGCCACTACTTTGTGACAGGCACTATAGAAGCCAAGTGTCAGATAATATATCAGCTCCTGCTCCACTTCAATTCAGCGGTCAGAACTCTTATTTTTAACATCTTGTTTTAAATATTATACGGTGAAGAGTTCAGCAGGACACGCAGTAGTTGGGAGGGAAGGCAGAACACCTGCCTTGCAGTGTTAATATCACGTAGGCATTAAATGGGATGCACTTCAACATTATCCAAAGCACGTTTTTGAACACGAACGCTTTGCCACAATCCACCGTGTAACCACTGAAGGAAGATTTAAGTTTATGCCACATAGGCACGAAGGAAAACTGACACGATGGCGGTGCGGAGCGGGCGCGGCGCCCGCCCCGGGCACCGGCTGGGCCGGCGGGCAAAGGTCCCTCGGCCGCGGCCCCGGCCCGGGCCCGGCCGGCTGCAGGCGGCTGCTGCTCCCCGAGGCCGCCGGCAGGGAGGGAAAAGGCAGGGAGGGAGGAAGAAGCCGCCGGGTCCTAATGCCGCCGAGCCTGGGCAGGAGCCCCCCAAGCGACGCCCTGAGCATCCCCCAGGCGGAGTCTCTGACCGCGCTGGCTCGATCAGTGATCTCGCGGAGAAACCCCCCGAATGTGCTCGAACGCAAAGCCTCCGTGTGCTCGGAGACTGGCAGAGCTGAGCACAGCCACGGGTGAAAACAGCACCCCAGGAGAAAAGCAGCGAAGGACTAGACAGGAAAAGGAAGAGGTACCGGCAGCCCCTGACATCGATGCACCACCTCTGTGCTTGTAAGAAATCCTGATTTGCTCCTCAAAACTCAGTGCCTGAACTTTGCCTTGAAGCTGCTCATCTTCATCACACAGTACAGGAACAGAAAAAAAAAAAACGCTCTGAAACAGGTGGGAAAGTGAGAGCGCAGGACTAAAACTGTACATGCTGTAGCAGACACAAGCGAGATTCCAGGATCCCTCCAGCAAACCAAGAAAGGCTCTTGACAAGCCAAAGATTCAGAACAGAGAAGACTGCAAGAAGTACAGTCTGGTGAGGCAGTTTTTACACCTGTGCATGTGGAATGTACCAGCATGTCTGCTTTCTGCCTTGCTCTTGCTACTTAGGTTTATTACAAGCAAATACAGCTATACAGGAGGCAGCAGGGATACCACCCATGCACCTACACTCCATCCTCTCAAACACATCAGCCTGGCCAGAGCAGTAATTTCTGATGTGTCTTCACTTTGCTGCCTCCTTCCTCTCCTTGCCTATACTTCAACATCACTTAAAGATTAAACAATAGTATTGTTACATCTTCATATGTTTTATACCATTTTAGTGAGACATTTAAGTGACCCTAGATGACTTGATCTGGAGTGCTAGAATTAGAAACAGGATTTGAAATGGTTACTGTGGAAATTGTGATCAGTTCTGTTAATAGTTGCATATAGTTTTTATTAATGTGCCTATGGTCTTAAAGCCTAAACCTGACAAGGGATGGGATAGACAAGCTCCACATCAGTGAAAGTAGTTAGGTGAACAGTCACAACCTCCTCCTGAAAATGAACAGCGACATAAACAGAAAAAGTTGCACCCAATGTACAGCCATGAGAAGTGTTAAGTGAAAAATTCATGTTAAAGAGTGGTCTTCCCATGAATGTATCTGTTCACTTTGGCATAAACTCCTCTGCTACATACCATGTATGGTAGAACAAGACCGTTATTTAAAAGACAGAATACCTGACTTGTGATGTGTTGTATCTATCCTGTCACAGCAATGTCTTATCAATAACATAGCTCTGTCACCTAGAGAACAAAAATTCTGGAGCCATGCACACATTTTCAATACATGAATCAAGTCAAGCTTAGAATGAATATTATATGGCAGATGAAAAACCCCCAAAAGTCCTAAGGATTCAAAACAATATCAGCAAAATTTTACTTCACCTACTTTTCAAAACTTTTCCTCTCGTCTCTCTCCCTATTACAGATACAAAAGAACCTTCTTGCAACATTCTGGTGCTAAGCTTCTGTAATGTAAGTGATAATTTATCTGATGTTATCAATAGGTAAGTCTGGTTTGTCTTTCACATCCTTATAGGACAACAAAAAATTAAGTGGGTAAGAAAGCCAAAATTCAAGGAGAGCTAAGATAACCAGGGGCCAAATGGTTCAATCTAATGGTTCAAACTACTTAGCGTTTCACACTGTAGAGAGCATTAGATCTGTTCTATCGACTTCCCAAATAGAACAATTTCTGAATCTGTCTAAATACTTTAAAAATACACAGGTGGCAATGCAAATCAGCTACTTCTATAGTCTCTCATCAAATAGTCCAGAAATGAATACACTGAAACTGTGCCACTTTATTAAAAAAAAATAAAATTCACTATTTTTCAGTTCCACCTTTTGCTCACATGACAGATGTAGCTTAAAAACTCAGCAAGTTGTGTGAAAAAGAGCAATCAGACATTGTAAAGCGCAGCTTTTTTGAAAGAATGTATACTGAGTAATTGCTACCCCGCGTGTCCAAAGTGCACAAAGCTTCTCAAGGATCCAAATGGGCATGAGAGCATCTTCCACACTTTTATGTGTGATGGCATCGAGTTTCGCTGTGGGCTGCAATAGTGAGGGCATGCCTTGAGGCTGGCATGTTCATTTAACATAGGAGTCATTCAGTGTGGAAATAACATAACAAATATCCACAAACTAATGAATTGTGAAAGAACTATAACGTTTTCCCCTCAGGCTTGCACCTACTAAAGTGTCACAAATTAAGTCAATATCACAGAAATGATTCAGCAAAAGAGGAATTAAGCATTAAATTGCAGTCAACTCGCTTACAAGTCAATCACTTAACTGGTTTTACTTGAAAGAATACCAGGCAGTACAGTCATCTCAGAGAAGATCAACAGAAAAAGACACTCCAGACTTGACTTTTATAAATAGTGCAACTAAGGTAAGATACCTCTATGACATGGAAGTTGCAAACGAGGTTTTTCTTCATTGATATCATCCTTCAGAATTTGAAGGGATTTAAAATTAAGAAGATATAATTCCCTTTTCCCCCCTAGATGGTTGGTTTAAAATGTAGAAAGATAAAATAACTACCAAACACTTGATGTGCAATGAACCTGAGTGAAAAGATTAGCCTGGCAAAAAAAAAAAAAAAAAAAGTTGTAAGCAGCCTAACTTCCTCATCCCAAGTTACTAAATTAGCCTACAGAATTACAGCAGTTTAAAAACCCACTTATAAATACACAGAAACAGGTATCTAAAATTATATTCATATACCTAACATGCATATTTGTACAGTGCAGCTGAAGGAACCTAGTATACCCTAAAATTACAGTTGCTGATTTGTGTTTTGCATTTTGGCACTGGAATAAGTAAACAGCACTTTGAGTGCCAGATTTTATCTCCCTCCCAGCTAGAAAGTAAAAATTAAAAGCTGAGAGTTACATAAAGGGATATTTAATAGAAGTCACTATTAGTCACCTTCCATAGCCACCTTATTTCAAATAAGGAGAATGCTTACATTAATCTTTTCAGATCTAACTTACGTACTTATATCAGACCTTTGGAGTCCGGCACAGACCTCTTAGGAACTCATCCACCAGGCACTCCCTGTACTTCCTCTCCCAGTATCTTATTGAGGATACTCTGTTTTAATTAACGCTGCCTTAGGTGCCTGTTATGATTCATGTCCATACTGTGCAACTGAGCACAGTGCAGCTCCCTCTGTCAGCTTAGCTGGTACTCTGCCCCCCGTCCCAGCCCCGAGGATACACTACTGTTTTCCTGCTCTCATCTGGTGCCCATTGGAAGTATCTGTGTTGGCATAAGGATGCATCTGAGCTCCTTAACCTTGCCTCTCAACAGCGCTAAGGCCTCTGACAGGCACGCACTGGACTGAATGCTGTTACCAGTCTCAGACATTAACCACCACCCCTCTGACCAACACACTCTATCCGATTAATGCCTAATCTGCTTGTGAATCAGCTCCTGAGCCACCACAGCTTTCTGCATGGCATGAGAAAATTAAGAGTTCTTGAGGTGTGCCAAAACCCCAATGTCACTGGCAGTAGCACTTTGCTGGAACAGCTGTATCAGCTATGAAACTAGTTCATCAGAAGAGCACTCAGTGCCTGTGCTGCTCATTACTACATAGCATATACATATCCAGCACCTCGAAATACCCTTACAAAGAAGCTTTAAGAACTGCCAGCTGCTACCAGATCAGTTCCACTGCAATATCAATCACCAGTGGGATTCAAAGAGTAGGAAGAAAAAGAGGCACAAATTCTTTGTAGATTTCAACAAGTCAATAATATACACAGGTATGAATATACTTGGCTCTGGTGAAAACAAGAATTTTTCCTTAAAGAACTCTTGGCCTAAGTTGTTTCAAATACTAAATTACAAGGAATCACTTCTACTACAGTACAGTTACAATAGCACTTTCACTGGTATTTCTATTTGCATTTTCTAATTATGTACATTACTTAAATACTGTGAAACTTCCAACAAAGTAGTACCAGTATAGTAATGTAGCACGCTGCCATTATATGTGTTTTAACCTATATGAGGATTAAAAGTTTCCGGCTTTGATTAGTTTGTCAATAATTACATGTTTCTTATCTCCTGCAAAGTTGGATGCAATGCCTGTTAGAACAGTTACATGTGTAGTGGTGACATATGCCACCAGGGGTTAGTTATAACATACTCTGAGTTAAAGAAAAAGCTGGGTTTTTTTAAAATAACAGTTCAAAAATATTCAGTTCTAAATATTCAGAGAAACAGGCTCACAAACAGTGAGCCATAAATGGCCACTAACTGCCTCTCTAAAATAACTTACTTTTCTAAAAAGATACTTTCACTGTTTTTATATGCAAGAAGTCACTGCTAAGTAAAGTTTTTGTACGCTGCTTTAGAATTTAAAATGCTGCACAATATAGAGAAATCCTCCTACTTTACACATTTTAAAAGAAAAATTCATCAGACAAATCTTCAGAGAGATACACAAACACATTTTACTGAGAATTATCAAGTACTGTTTAATAAATTACATGCAAATTCTTACCAGAATGCCATTGCTTTTGAAGATGCCATATCCATTGTTATCCTTAAGATATCCATTCATATTCATCATTAGTACCCCGCTTGCTTCACACTCTAGCTTCGGAATGAATTTCTGACAAGCAACCCACACCTACCAAAATGGTTTCTAGAAAGCAAATTATATAGCTGTAAGACATGGAAAACCAAACAGCAATTTGCAAACCACTGCAAATGCAATGCAAACATAGTCAATATAAAATTAATTCTGAAATGTTCATCATTTTGTGCTGGACACTAATATAACCAGAGTTGTAACATTATACTTTTAAATCACCAGTTCACCTACAGAAAAACTGCAAGAGTAAAATTCCTTTTACCCCATGAAATCTCATATACCTCATCTCATTAAGGGTGGTCATTTGCCTATAAATGATTTTTTAATAAAAGAGCAGAATAAAGGAACATTATTCCTAATCATTGTTAAGGTCCTCCAAGAATTAATGAAAATCAAAGTTTCATTATGCTGGACAGTGTATATAACAGAACAGCAAAAGCTCCCTGAGCCTATTAAAAACAATGGTCCAAACAAGGGGAAAAGTTCACACAGAGCACAAACAGCAGCACCATAGTAAATGTAACAGTAGTTCTGCTTTGTCGGTGGCTTTTGCTTGCAAACAAACCAGGAGATACAGGGTAAGGTGGGCAGACTGGATGAGGGGAAGCGTATGTAGTAAGCAGGCATGAAGCGGAAGTAAAGAAGTAGAATGGACGGTAAGAGGGTGGAAGAAACAGTCAATAAGCATAGGACAGAGAGCAGCTCATTAAAGCTAGTGAACGTTCTCTGAATGTTCAAAGGTCCCTGGGCTTTTGGCTCTTTCTGTTCCTGCGAGTTAGTCTCTGACAAGGTCCTTTCTTTACTGCTCCCAGGCTTAGAGCAGAGGGTTATACTGATTTTCAGTCTTTTCCCCATCACAATCCCCTCCTCAACTTTCAACATGGGATCAAAGATCTTTCCCTCATCTATAGCTTTAAAAAAGAGATCATCTGAATCTGCTCAACAATATCTTTATAGAACTAGGACATGCAGATCAGCCTTATTTGCATGTGATCTGAGTTCTGATATTCTGACTTCAACCTTCCTGATTCTTTCTTAGGTAACACATACTGGACAAGATTCATTTATGCAGCACAAAAGTGAGGCAAGACACTGATCTGTAAAACAGTTGAAAGTTGATAAGAGTGCGTAAGACATTGTGTTCCATACTGATTAACACAGAGCTTTTAGGATTTGGGTTGGGGATAGCTGCTCCACAGACTCTGGTGCAAGCAGCCAGATGAAAATATTCTAATCTTCACAGTAAACTGTACTTGTTTTAGTATTAACTGAACAGATTAGGCTTATATCAGAAAGAAAGATGCAGCATTTTCATTGTCAAAACATTCACCATTTATATCTTCTGGCATAAATGGAGATAAGTCAGTGTAAAGAGCAGGTCTGCCCACAAAGACAAATCAAATCTACGAAACTGAAGTGGTGTAAATTTTTATGGGGCTGTATGGATAAGGGCAAATAAACTAGAACGAAGTCACTTTCATCTGGTATAAGGTCTCCAATACAAATAGTTTATACAGGCATAGCAACTGCAACATAATTTAAAACAATTTCTGGAATTGGGCCAGCCCTCCTAGGTTGTTTCCTTCTATGTGGAAATAAGCTACCAGTATATACAGTTTTAGACTGATACAGCTCTATTCACACTATGGGGAAAGGTGGCTGATACTTTAATTATGCCAGTACAGATAAAGTAGTAAAATGTCTGATAGAGAACTTAGTGTCTCAGATATAGTCCATTTACCTCTTGCAAGATAGTAACAATATTCCTAGCGCAGGCAAAGCTTTGGAGTACTAATTCTTAACTTAAAAAATAATCCCTTCTGTAATTCCCAGAACATCACCAACCTTTGAAATGTTAATGGAATTACTAGAGACAAACCAGACTTTGAATTTCTGCCAGATTCTGTCAGGAGTTCAGCTGACAAGAGTTTTCTGTGTGCCACTCAGATGTCACCACTCTTTTCATAATAATTTTCTTTTTCGTAAATGAACTGGGTTTTTTCAGCAACAATGCTGTGGTAATTTTGAATCTTCATAAAAACACTGGTAAAAGGAAAGTGTGTGTTTTGGCTTGAAAAATCTACGTAAAAGCAAATACTCCTCCTCTGCCAGACTATGGCTTTGGAAATTACCTCTGACTTGCCAATGACAATAACAGGCAATTAGTTATCCAGCAAAATCCCTTTATTTCAGTTGGACTATATTACTTCCACCAATATCTATACTTTGTTTGGTTGTTTGAAACAGCACCTGCAAATTCAGGCAGTGCTATTAAAAATAAGCCATCTTTTTTGCTTCTGAAGGAACTAACTTCAACTATTCCTTAAATGAGAAAAAGAAATGAAAAAAAAAATTGTTTTAACAAGTGTGTTCTTGGGAAAACTATGAATGGTAACTTCCAGACAACTGAGTTGAGACACCAGAATCACCTGATAGAACAAGAATGCATTTTCCTCCTTACTTATGACTTGTTCTACAATAGCTTCCAAACCAGACTCAAGATAAATGCATATGTGCATTGGTTTTGTCTCCCTAACTCCATCTCCCCTGAAAATAAGACCCCTGCTCTCAAGAATCTTTAACTGCAACTGTAACTGTAATTTCCTTATCAAAAGTGAACTGTATTGACCATAACCTAGCTGGCACATAGAATGTACAGGTAGGTATACTAGTTATTAAAAATAAGCAATTTTTTTTTATAGCTTAAACTTGGTCTCACAGATGGATCTGTGTTGCAAACTGAGGTTACTTAGAGTTCGTGTTTTTTTGTTTGCTAGTTGGTCAACCTCAGTAAGAACCAAAAAAAAAGGAAAATAAAAATCAACAATACAATCCTTATAATAGTAGCATCCTGTCATAAATTAATAGGAAGGACATACTTATATAGAAAATCTTGTTAAGTAAACATGATATCTCTCTTTAGAAAAATTATCTCATTGCAAATAATTAACAGAGCACTTTAAAGACCTGCCAATAAATGTAGTCCCTTATATACAGAAATTGGAATTTCTCAATGGTATGAAATTCTGTAACAAATTAATCTAAAATAATTTTTACATACAGAAATCATTGTGAAGGATGCAATACTCTAAGTTATTACTTATAAATCAACTTCACTGCTCTTTTTGACACATTAAGAATTTTCTAACAGTGGGATAGAATAGAATAGAACAGAACAGAATAGAAATTTAAAAAATCCCATCGGGGGAAAACTGAGGAAAATCGTTCTTTTTCCTGGAGATTCCAAAGCTTTTTATCCCCCAAATCCCTCAGCCAAGATCTTTTTTCCATATCTTCAGAGGTCCTCCTTTTGTTGTTACTAAGGTGAAATTAATCTTGGATATGTATTCTGCTGAATTAAACATGATTAGGAAATATACTCCACATAGCACTTGCCTCTGGCCCTATGTTGTGCCCCAAGAGGTATAAGTATTTATTCATTACCCTTTATTGTGTGAAGCATAGTCAGATAAACAAGGCTGGAGGGTGGAACATATACGACTGGTGTCTCCAGGACTAAATGATATAGTAGGAAGCTAGTCCACAGCAAGTTGCACTGAAAGACAACGTCTCTAAAAATGGAATAGAGAAAAAAACAGTCGCAGAAACAGGTAAGACTCTAAAGTAAACATCCTCACACGGAGTTTGGAAGCAGAAGGCTGTGTCAAAACAGACATTGCTTAAAGAATCATCATCTTCTTCACTAATGAGCTGGAGAGTAAATCAGTTCCGGAAGTAGTTGTGAAAACAACAGGTAGATACGAGCAAAAAGCTAAGTCTCTAACTGCAGTCCTTAACTCAACCAAAGCAGAGGGCACTTCACCCATCTGCAAGGTGAAAAACTTAGCCCCTTAATTTAAGAGTGGCTAAAAATGATCCACTGTCCTTTTGAAGCATCTGGAGTCCCAAAGCCAGGTCTCTAAATGACTGCTGTATTCACAGTGCTGTAGAAACTGGAATTCAAGTCACTGACTCTCCCTCTCTGATGTACTGATTGGACTCCCTATTTAGTAGCAAGTGCAGTATTTGTATCCTGTATGATGGTATTCCATAATAAACATAATAACCCATTCCACAGTATGATAATGAAGCTAATCTTCTAGGCACTACACAGGTTTCATCACCTCTTCTTGGTGAGCATGTCAGGAATGAGATATCCTCTCTTGGAAGACCCTGGAACTCCCATAGCTGTACTGCAGATAAGGCAAAAGAGTCTCCTCCTTCACAAACGTAACCAACCAGCTCAATTTGACCACACTAAAATGGTATGATCCAAGAGGAGAGTATTTAAGCTGGATATTGATGACCATGATAAGGGCCTGCTCTCAAAAGAATGTCATGATGCTGGGAACCAAAACCAGCATAGCATGTTGGGTGCTGCCAACAGTCCTGCATTTGTTGTTAAACCCTAAGGTAACCTATACATCAGCTTGCACAGCCAATGAGTCCTCCCTCAGGCATTCTTGGAACCCAAGTCCCAAGAACAAGTTAAGATACGTCTTTCTGACGGGGCAGGAAGCTAACTGTGTTCCAAGGAGGAATGGAACTAAGATATTCCATAAAACTAATCCATTCATGTGTTAGCCACAGAGAGAACTCTGAGCTTATATATTGCTCAGATACTTCTATTTTAAAGTGCTAATGATGTACACTTGCCTACATTGATAGGAACTGTCTCTTAAAGTACATCACTTCTCTAAGATTGAATGTGCTGTCTGCTATGTGACAATTTTAATAATAAAAAACTCTTACGTTACTGTTGCTCAGATTTTCTATAACTTTACAAATTCAAGAGGTGAATAAATTTGACCCAAATCCTTTAGTATCTCCCATGGCAAGAACAACAAGGATTACTGATTTCTATGGCGGGGGGGAAAAAAAAAAAAATCTGTATTTTTCATCATCACGAACATGGAACTTATTACAAGCATGCGATACTTCCTCCACTTAATTAGAAAGCTACTATAAAACCACATGTATTTTAATAGTTTTGTTTAACCAACTGCTTGCCAGGAATAGTTGCTTACTTTCTTAAACCAGATGATCTGCTTCAGATGGACCTGTTTCTCTCACATTCTGTATTGCCTATAGAACTGAGCATAGGAAATCCAAAATGTATCTCATTGATGTTAATGGCTCATTGAAGTTAAATGTCTAAAAAGGTAATACATGTATTTCTTTGATTTGTTGTAATCTTTTATCTTAAAATATTCTCCATTTTTATTCTTGATCTTGATCTCAAAATACTGATCTTTTATAGTATCTTTCTGATTTTGAAGAAGGTAAGGAAGTAGTCTATAGTTGAAATTGGGTAAGTCTTAAAAACAAGTCCCCAAATCTTTAATGTTTTCTCTTTGACACACTATCACATAGAAGAATAACTTTTTGATTTTTAACCAGGAAAATTTATTGCTCTTTCTCTAACAATTACAGAACAAATTTCTACTTTTTCCTTCTAGTCACCCCCAAAAAACAGAGAGTGAAGGAGGACCCTGGGTGATTAACTAGGACAAGTTACTGGAGATGGCCATAACAGTTCCTGTTGCCATTGTTCCTCTAAACATTTCCTGCCTCTGTTACTGAGGTAGCAGTACCTGCAAGTTCCGGGTGACTTTAAAGCTCTAGGTTACAAACTATACTGAGCTGTTACAACACAAACCAATGAGCTACCCAGTCCCTGTCCCTGGAGAGAGTGGGGACCAGCTGGAGCAGGAAACAAACCAAGTTAATCCCATGATCTGAACAGAGCCCCTAATGCTCTCCAATATAAAAGCTGTTATTTCTAAATTATGCATGCATTACCAAAAGACATCTCTGTCTTTACAAAATGGAAACTGCAGTAGTTAAACTAGCTACACAGTCATAGCTACATGTTGGAAACAAAATAAAAATGTGGTTGGAATTAGCACTAGACATTCATGTTCTGTGTCAGTATAGAAGTACTCTTGGGGAACAGTACTGCTGAAATGTTAAATAACTATATCATGCTCAAACTGCAACTAACAAATCCTCTCACAAATATAGGCATATCTATTTTAAATGTTAAATGGAAAGTATTTATAGTTTAAGTTGCACCCTTTGCTACTTAATTATCATAATTTTGAAAAGAAGAAACCTTTAATTTCCTCCCCCAAAGAAGTTATTTACCTGAACTGTAGCATGGGAGTCCCCAGTAGTCTGTTCTGAGATTCTCATCCCACTGAATGTCAAAGACCTGGCATTTCAAGGATGGGATTTCAACATCAGTTATTGACAACTTAACTTTGTCTCACTAAAGATAAACCAACCTTTATTCCCACTCAGGTCAGCTCATTGATTTCACAGAAAACACATCTAGAAAGCAGAGCTGAATACTTTCAGAGATTCCACCCATCAGATAAAAAAGGAAAAAAAACAACCAAAAACCAGAAATTGATATAAAACATTTAAGACTTCTTGATGCATGATAAATCAAGTATTTTTGTGTATTTGCATGCACTACAAATACCTGAAATTACTGTTAACAGCTTGCTGAAATAATATAATCTCAAATACTTTACCTTCTTACTCTTCAGGTACAAGAATACTGATCTATGAAGAAAACCCAGTTTTGCCCATGTACCAGAGGTGAAACAATAACAGCTCTGCTAAAAGAGTAAAAAAAAAAATATCCTTGCTGCTCTCAATATCTGCATTACAGACATCGTAAGCATTATTAAGAATAACACTTAACTTAGTTTCTGTTTTGCTCTTGTCCTACTTTGGGTTCTGTGGAATGGTATTCAATAAAAGTTTGACTTCATGTACAGCTAGAACACCTTCTCACCAAAAGGAAAGCCTAAAAAGCTTCAAAATACAATATTGTTCTTCAACTATATTAAAGCCAAAGCCCTCAGTTTTTATAACTCTGTAGCATTTATAAAAAAGCATTTTAAAATTGTACCTGGTGGACACTATCCATAACATTCATACTGTAAAATAAGACCGGAAAATTTAAGCATTATCTCCAGAATGAATTCTGTGGTTTGTGATTTTATTGAAATGCATTTCAACTTTTAGAAGTTCACTGAAGCAAAAGCCTCCTCTTCACTACTGCTGTTCTTGTTCAGAGTACATTAACAGTTCAAAAGCTTTTCTTAACTAGTTTCTGATTTTTAGTTATCCACTACATTTATAAAGCATATCTTCCTGCTTTCTTAAAGTATAAGGGGACTAAACTAAAGGCTTACACTAAAGAAGTGATGTTCTTTCCATGTTACTGAAGTTCTCAGCATCAGGAAGGCACTGATAAGAAGTTAAGTATGTGCACCAAAACATACAGAAACAGGAGCCTCAGTTTCTAGACCCCAAAGATATCATAGCATTTTAATTTGAAAAATCAAGTACTTTTAATTCAGTAGGATTTTTAGCAAGACAAATGGTATTGTTAAGGCTTCTGAGATCATATATGTGTCTACAAAGGTGCAAGTGATCCAGTAATTTAGCAACAAGGTTGACAGGTATCATTAAAAGATTCTAGATTTGTGCACCACTGAAAAGGGTGACAAACTGTACACCGCCATTCTGAAATGAAGCATTTGGTTGTCTGGTTTTTTTTCCAGATTATCACTTGTTTGGCTGCTAGTTAAAACACCAAACCCATGGTGAGCTCTCTCAGTGAGAGAATCCTCATTTTTTTTGTGGGAAAGAACACACAAAAAAAGAAATGCAAGTACCTGTTTAAATATTCACAAGTATTTTATTAAATCTACTTGTAATACTTCTTCTTGAATGTACATTGCCTAGAGTTCCCATGCAGGACATGACTATAAACCAATTTCTGCTGTGAAGTCATTAATGTTATAAAAATAACTGGTTGTCTTGGAAAAAAAGATACAGTGTACCGTAACCATTTGTCTAAAATTAAATTCTGATCCAGTGTTACAATGCCAGGATTTAAGGATCTACTTTAGAAAAAAAAAAAAAATTAATGGCAGAAAATTCAAAAGCTGATTTTTTAAAATAGAACAATTTCCAAGTTGTGAAAACCTGTCTGTGACTTCCTTATTACTTCCTCTGAATGATTTGAAACCTAATAACTAACATTTAGATCGAACAACTCCTGGCTTAGCAAAATACCGAATTCATACAATAAACACATAAGAAAATTCTGGAAAAGCTTTCAGCAAAAGGGAATTGTGTCATTAAGATCATCATATTCTCCATAAACAGCTACTCCAGAGATAGTAAGTGTGCTAAAATTATTTTCCAGACAACAATTTCCCTCCATGCATCTCATAAGTATGTGTGCTCCTGCATGTGCCTTTTCATTTCAAGATACTTCATGTGTCAAATGACCAACACGAAGTGTCTGACAGGACCCTGCGTATATGCTAATTTGAATGAAATGCAAGCATACCGAACCCAAATAAGGATAATTTAAGAAAACTTACCTGAACTTGAGAAAGCACCTCTTTGCTGCATGGGTGCTAATTCCCAAATGAAGACTCTTCCTTGCAAATAAGTGAGCTTTCTTCAGATCATTATCCTGTGGCACAGGCTCCTCCAAATGGCAGAATGAATGTATTGCCATTATTGAAAATTTACAGATAATTTGAAGGAACTGAACTGAAAGCAAGAAATACAGCAGCTTTATTTTCTGTAACCTTACTGAAAATACCTTAGTTAGTTTTCAAGAACTTGTTGCTTATCAATAGCATTTAAAACCACAGGAAGGGTATGCATATGCAGAGATCAGTGAAGTATAAAGGAACTAAGGAAACCAGATGGACAATTCATTTGAGGAGAAATGCCCAGATAAAGAACTTCCATTTAATGCTACTTCAGAGCACCATTTCAATAAATTTTAGGGCTGTCTCTTATACTATATATACCTTTTCTCTGCAACGAAGTTTTCATAAGGCTATCTAAAACGATACATGTATTTTTGCAGAATGTTTACTTGCAATATAGAATTATCTTACAAGTAGTTCAAGTTATTCCTTCCAGTTTGAATTATTTTAAAATTACAAATACTGAATGACATCTACCACTATTATGCTAATATAGCCAATTTTAGAAGGCTGCCCTCAAGTTCCTCACAGCTTTCTCCCGTTTTACAGAATGTATGCAGCGTTTTACTTTGGACACTTATTTGAGGACAAGATGAACCACATCTAAGACAGATTTTACAGGCATAATTTGATGAGCATCTATTCTGGTAAAATGCCAGTTCAAACAGAGATGACCCTCATGGGGCTTATTCTCGTCCTTGTGCCACGACCACGTTTGTGCAGATGTATCTGCTGGTGGAGCCACCTACTACACTGTATTGAGGAACTGACTTGGGTTAAAAATTGCTGCTTGCCATAGACTCCTCAGGATCAATATTCTGACTCAAGTCACTGTATGACAGCACAAACGACTGTGCTAATACAATTGGAGGGAAAGTGATCAAACAGGACCACACAGCTAATTGCAGCTACAAATGCCAGCACTTAAGAAACTACTGTTGTCACCTAAGTGTAAATTACGAAGTAAATCACAGCTTTGCTACTTTTCAGTTCTATCTCCGCATCACAGTTCATCATCCCCACACTGGCACCAAAAATGAGTGCTTGTAGGGCCACACCAAATATGCTTGGGTTACAGTTTCCTGCCATAGGACATAGCCTTGCCAGTTTAAGGTGGGATGAACTACACACAGTGTGTGAGTGTATGGATACATGGGTGCATCTCTGTCTTTTCCACTAACAACAGAAGCAACTTAGATCATTGTTTAGATTGCTAATCACAGAAGAGATTTCTGCTGCTTAACATGTCTGCTTAGGTTAGGCCGGATCTCTTCTAACTTTTGAATCCACTGCCTGATTTCAAAGTTTGTCAAAGACAAAAGTTGAAAAGTCATTTACATTTTATTAAGAATTCAGAATTCCAAGTACTGGGAAGGTGGACAGAGAAGACCAACACAGACACTGACCAAACTGAAGTACAGACTGGAGCATATGCCCATGCTCCTAGGGAACAAGCATATAGGTAAGAGACACACCTTACAACTACCCCAGCTGCAGCTGGTATTTTTCATTCCCTCTAAGATACAACTACATAGGAAGTGAGTGGCTGTTGGGTCTTGTGCTCACAAGAACTACTTGACTATCCATGTAGAATTCAAATCTACTTAAGTGGCATTAAAATAAGCTGCAAATTCCAGCTCTGCTCCTTGTGCTCAGTTTAAAAGTACAGGTTGTACAACACTTGATAGCTTCCAGTCCCCTGGCACAGCATCTCATCCTAACGAGATGCATTCTGCTTAGCAGATCAGCCACTTCATCCTTTAGAATGAGTAAATGAATGAACAATATCATGTCCTTATGACTTAGAAGTCTTTAGCAATTTATTCTAGCATTCAGTCTTTTGATTCTCTAATCCCATAATCAGGTAACTTCCCATCAATATTATTTGAAAAGAATAAAATGTATATGACATCTCTGTGGTGAAGAGTAGCATAAAGAAATAACTCCTTCCTAGAACCTCTGACTCCATTTAATTGTTTTTTATACTCCCTGAAAGTCCAAGAGACATGTCATGTCCTTCAAATAATACTTGCAATGTTACCATCCTCCTTGTAATTTTCAATAAAAGCATACAACCAAACGTTTCCCTGAAATACACTGCTATCAGTAAGACATGACAACTCTATCCACACTGCTACCAATAAGACATGACAACTATATCCCGTTACTGAGATTAATTTACATATTTGGAAGGGTTAAAATGTTACATAAAAACATTTCTGATCACATGCATGTGAATGTGATTGGTCCTTTACTTGCTTATATACAGGCAGTAATTTTGAGATTGCCTCTCTTATCAACAACTTCTCACTTATAAGTAAATAATTAACAACACTAAATAAGAATAGTTAAAGAGGTATCAATTGGAAACAAATGCTATCCAAAAAGAGGAAGGAAATTCATATGAATTCCCTGCACATAAGAAGGATCATACTATTGTTAATCAAAATACAACCTCTTAGATAAAAATACTGTCCATCTTAATATCCAATTAACATTTATTATTTATTAAACCCAACCAGCTGTATCTCAACATCTATGTATACTCAGAATCTACATAGTATATTCTAACAGTGGTGGGTTTTGTTGGGTACTTTTTGGGGTGGTGGTGGGTTTGGAATTTTTTTTTTTTTTTATATAGGAATGCTCTTTTGCATTCAGAGTCCTTGCTTTGGAAAGTTTGGAAAGGCCTTAAGCCTTTCTTAGGCTGCTAACCTGCACTGATGGCTTTGTTACTGTAGTCTTAACAGAACTGGTACCTGAATTAGGCAAAATAAGCTCAAGCCCCTTCATATAGTTCAACTGCACAAAAAGCATTATTTTCAGGCACTCTACTCTGGACTAGTTCCAGTACTGGAACCAAGTCAACTGTAGCTAGGAAGGAATAGCTGTACAAGGAATTCAAACTGACATAAACCTGTATACAAGGAATTTGAAGCAATACACAAAAAGGCATGGGTGTATTTTCTTACTGTTTTAAATCTTAAACTTGGGTGAAATTTGCAACTCCATGCTACAACATGATGCCATAAGTAAAATAATGGCAATGATTTGCTAGAGCTTAGCTTATTCAGGTAATTTTTTTTTTACAAGTGAAATACCTAT